ACGAAGAAAATATAAACAACAGTTGGATTTTACTTACTTTGTGGCTTCTTTGATTTAAGCCGGAAAATTCAGGAGCAAAGAAACCACCAAAATTGAGCAACTGCAATTTCGTCTGCTTTTCTCCAATTAGAAGAATCTCAAGGCGAAATTCTCGGTGAATTTCTGTGTGTTTGTGTGTGTGCTTGGGTGGAGGTCCTTAATCGCCAGAGGCAAACCCAACCTACGCCTCTGTTTGCCTTTTCCTTTCAACTCCTCGCTCTCTAATTGAATATGCATATTTAGCTGTCAGTCATTTTGATTGCGTAACAAACCGAAATGAAATGAAACATGAAGCCCCCAAAGAGGTCCCCTACCCCCACAAACCCCCCAAAAGCACTGTGACCTTCAACCCATCCTCCCACCCATTTTCAAATAGCCCGAAATAACCTCAGTCTGAGTTTGAGTATCTTGAGGACAAATCATTGTCATTATCATCGGTCGAATTTCAACATTTTGGTGATGCAGTCACAAGTGCACTCGGAAAAATAACATTAAAAATAAAATATTAACATAAAATATAACCAAAAAAACTTGTATATAAAGTTTAGCTTTATCGATATGTTCGATATTTTTACAATATCTGTTCGATTACATCGATGTTTTCAAGGGAAAACACATTAAATATTGAGAAAAAGCCATCGATAATTTTCCAACTCTAATATAAGTTAATCTGTGTATTAAAACTTAAAATAAAATAAAACTAAATTAAATTAGAGGCCTAAATTATTTGCATATTTTAAAATAAAGGGTTTTTAGGGAAATGTATTAAATTGAGTGCAATTGATTGAGCCTAGAAATGAAACGCAATTAAGATGTATTGTTCAAGACTTTTATGTGTTGTCAATCAATGATGGGGAATAAAATGTTCAATCGCAATAACTGAGCACTCTCTTGTCATATGCCAATTAACTTGGATAATTGAGCATTTCGGCAGCATACATTTCGGAGCCCAAGACAATTGACAGTTGATAATGCATTTTAATTGCCGAAATATGGATGGATTGTGTCCTGTTGTGTTTGTGTTTGTGTAAGGCGATGGTTTTGTTATGTGTTATGCAAACGCAACTCCATTTAATCAAGACGGAGGAAAAGACAACTAATTATGGAAAGCCATCAGAATGGAAAACTAATTGAGGTATTAGCAGTTAATTAACTGCAATAGATAACGAGGTTGTTAATGGCGAAATGTTGGTAATTAAACGATTAGCGCAAGGATATCTGAAATTTTAAAGTGAATAAACTTTTTTAAATATTTTGGTGATACAGTTATTATTATTTTAAATAATTATTATTTTAAAAATGGAAATAGAATTTAAATTAATTAATTAAATTAAATTAATAATCAAATTCTTTGAAAATAAAATATCCACATATCTTTTATTATTCCTTAATCAACTCGCATTCTTATTTTATTTTATTTATTTAGCAAGCTTATCTGTCCAAATCGCATTGTGTCTGCGCTCGAAAGACCGCCGGTTAATTGAAATGGCAATTTTCATTTCAATTAATATGGGAATCGCCCCTCGCCTAAGCTTGCCGTCGAGTTTTGTTTCCCTTTTTTGGTTGCCGTTTGCTGTAATTATAATTGGCAATTTGCAAATTCAATTGACCGCAATTATGCTGGCGACCACCGAAAAATCGCCATGAATAATGCAATGGAAAATTGAATTTCGCATTCATTCAATTAGAGTTGCGAATGCGGGACAATCGAAGTTGGGAAACTCGAAATGTAAATCCCCATCCGCCCTCCTCCTTCAGGATAATCCGGAAACTTGTTCCTTCGCCATGGCGATTGGCAATAAAATTCTAATTCCATGCAATTAATTTAAATACAAGTTGGCAACAAACAAACCGGGGAGACTGGGGAGCTTGCAATCTTATTACTTTATTGCCACTTGAGTGTTGAAAGTGGAAAGCCAAAAGGGGGGTTGCCTTTTGGCAGTGGGTGAAATAAGTGAAAAGGGTGAAAAGTGTTCAATTTGCAAAGATCTCTCTTTTATACAGCTGGTATTCCATCTGCCCTAAACGCCCCAATGGGACTCGACTCGACAACTTAAAAGATATAGTATCTCCGCCCGAGCCCTGGGAATCCGATTATTATTGTGGCAAACGAGGCGGGTTTTTTGCTGAAACTTGTTGGCATTTTGTTTTACCTTCGGCTATCTGCTGGATTGCATTGCCAGTTATTAGGATTTGATTAGGCTGATTGGATTGCAGGATGTGTGATTGAGTAGGAAAGTGATTAAATTACTACCTGTGGTATTTAATGTGTACTGCTTTTCAAATGAAAATATATATTTACACGAAAGATTTTGTTTTCTCATATAATTTTTTTAATTTGTTATTTTTATAAACTAAAATAATAAATTAACTTTTTGGGCTACAAAAATATTGTTGCATTGATAAAAAAAAGTTATTTTATTGTCTTAGCTTATAAAAAAAATCATAAAAAAAATAATTTGTTGAAAAATGAATCTAAGAAATCTTAAAACGTTCGAAAAATATATATTTTCATTTAAAGGTAATTTTAAAAACTAATTTCTGTGGAAATCCCTAACAGAATTGCTATAAGAAAGCAATCAATCAATTAAATAAAATATACCAACAATGTAAAAACTTAATCTTGCTAAAAAGTTGTAATTAAATACATTTAAGTGGGCTTTACGTTAGAAGTAAAATATTTGCACAGCCCGGGAAACCAAGAAATTGTCGGCTAAAATAACTTTGTCCGGAATGCTCGTAAGTACGTGTAAGTAAGAAAGTCACGAGTATAACACCTCTGGGCCGAACCGAACCCTTTAATCCGGTTAGAGCCAGCTACATGCACATGCATACATCATAAATAATTGAGTTATCCTTCGATGTTTTCCCCCACTTGCTCTTTTTCTGGCTTTTTCTCATAAATGTATATATATATTTTTTTTTTTTGGTTCGACAACATGACAAATTTATCCTAAAGTTAATTCCCTCACTGAGAACAGAAGCCCCGCGCCTGTGGCTGCTGACCCTTTTTGCCCCGTCTCATGAACTTTGGCCTGTAGGTACGATAGGGGGCACAATAATAGCGCTGACAATAATAACTTAAAAAAGGCATAAAAATATCAAATAATAACTAAAATTTATAAGCTTTTTTTCAATAAAATATTTAATTCTTTTTAATTTTTCTATTTATTTGAGTTTCTAAAATCTTTTTATTTTTCTGGAAATTATATATGCAGCTCTATTTTAAAATCGATTTATTATATATATTTCTCTGTGAAACTACTTCAAAGCATATCCATAATAGTTGAAAAAATGTTTATTAAAATATATTTAGATCAATTTTTTCGCAGTCGGCTGTATTTTTGTGCGAGCCAGTTCATTTTGCTGGCGATGTCCTCGGTTGGGCGCAATTCGTATACATATATTGATGAATATGTATAAATAAATTTCTATTGATTTTTCATTATTTATATTTAATAATAAATAAAGCAAACAGCTGCCCTCTCGCTCGCACTGCTGCGATTGCCCGACTGAGGTGTTTTTTTCCGAAAGTGTTGACACTCCTAAGTTTGAAATTGAGTCGTTGGAGCACATTGATTGAGTTGCTTTTATACATATACCTATATATATATATATGTATATTTTTTTTTGGGGATACACACGGCTTACACAAAATTTCCGCTTTGTTGCGCAGCTGAACAACATTTTAAATTCCCCCCACAGGATTTTCAAAGCGTAACCGACATTCTTTTTTTTTTTTGCGCCACCAGCGTGTTTGCGCTAAAAATAATTAAATTCAATTGCAATTCAGTTATCGCCCGACAGCCACAAAATAATAAAAAAAAATAAGTAAAGAAAAAAGAAGCAAAAATTGTGATAGAAAATTCAAAATGCCTGCCCCTCCATTTTCTTTTTTTTTTTCTGCGGTGAGAAGGAAAAATATTGAAAATTTATTTATAGCCAAAAACGCTACGCTGCACCTGTGTGCGTGTGCTGTCAACACGTCTGAGTGTCTCAGTGTGAGTGTGTGTGGACACAACAGATGTTTGCAGTGTGTGTGTGCATAGTCGAGTGTAAAAATGATTGAGTGTTTGAACTCAACTTTTGTGTCGTCGCCATCGTCGTCATCATCGTTGTGTCGGTGGAATATAGAAGTGCAATCGGGGAAGCGCCACCTGCCGGGAGCACCACCCAAAATCAGCAACAACCACCCAACAACCACCCACAACCATTAAACACCGCACAGCACCACCCCAAAAGTATGCCTTCTTTATTTATTCCTTTGGCCTTCAGTTTTGGTTCACCTTTCTGCACGTGATCGACAAATTAGAAATAGCTATAATTAAAATAAGTTAAATGTGTTTCATCAATAAAGGAAAATTAAACAAGGAACTTTTAGATGTTATCCAAAAAAATACTAATATTTTTGGGTCACCTTTTGGTGAAATAATTGGAAACTTATTAAAAATGATGCCAAAATGTTGATACTTTGTATTAAATAACAAACTTCAAACGTAATCTTGAAAACGGCTTTCTAAGGTTCATTTTATGGACCATATATATTTTTCATATATTTTGTCAAATCATTGGAAACTAAGAAAACACTTTATTAAAAGATTGAGCTTTAAAAACAACAATTTGTATGCAATTGTTATAAAATCTAGCGGATACCTTAGCTTCATGTTATGGTCATTAAAATTGCAGTTCTGGGTCACCAATTTTAATTTGTTTGCTTTTTGTCAACAGTTTTTCAAGTGTATTCAAGCATCGACTCACTTTCCCCATATATACCTATATATTTTATCGCTTTTGTTGTTATCGCTGTTGGTGTTCCCGATTTGTTCAGCTTTATTTTCTACGCCCCGTGTTTAAGCCAATGTAACCTCCTCAACACAGAAAGAAATTATATTGAATAATATTTTGTTTCATTGATTTTCCTTTTGGAAAATGGTGATACAGAAAGGAAAATACACGATAGGTTTTCATGCATTAGTTATAATTCCTTGGGCACAAAGACACGATTTTAGAAATGTACTTTAACGACCCCATATTTCCACAACATCACTGATCCCATAATTCTTGTCTGAGGTAAAGGCAATGGTAGCTCCCTTCGATCCAGGACCTCCACTTTTGAGTACGGCAGTGGCACCGTGGCTCTTCTTTTTGTCCGTAACCTTGATTGCCGTGATGGTGAGCGCGTTAAGGTTGTCCTGTAAAATCACAGATATTTTTAATAATATATAATCAGTGAATATATGAGTATTACTTACCGACTGCTTAAATGTATACGTTTTCTTCACCTTCAGGCCAACGAAAAATGCCTTCTTAACCGTATCCTTAGCCAATTTGTAGTCGTTGTCCCCGATTGTGCCCCAAAGGTAGTCGTTGCCTGCGAAGGCTGGCAAAACAAATGCCGCGATGGCGAATAAAATAAGCACGGTATATTTCATTTTGATAACTATTTCGCAATGACGAAACACTTCAAACTGATTTGGAAAAGAATTCGTACCCACTTTTTATGGCGAAGCTTTGGTATCTACAAGTACTTACTTAATTAAAAAAAAGTGATATTACGTTCAACACCAGCTAATCAGTTAAGTCTCTTTATCATTCCCAAGCTGTCGTCTGTTCCGGTTTTCACTTAATAACGCTTTACTCGCCTTTTCGCTGTCCAACTGTTCTGATTTTGATAATCGAAATCTCGCGTAATCTAAAAGTTCATGGTGAATTGTAATATTTGAAAGAAAAACCACGAATTTCTTGCAATTTTTTATTTGGAAATTTAAACTTTTAAACAATTTTGGTAATTTTTATATTATTTTTTAAATGCTAAAAATTATATAAGAATTACGATTCTGTATGTTATAGTTATTTTTTTTGAGAATTTTTTTTTAATTTTAATAAATTGTTTTTTAAATTCAATTATTTTTTCAATGGTGGAACTAAGTTTGTATGTAAAATAATTTTTTTTTTAATCAAATATTGAGCGTCTGATTTTAGATTATTTTCTCGCAGTGCATTCCACGGCTACGGTTTTAAATTGTATTTAAGGTGGCTTCGACTCCAGCGGCTTTATCTACTTTGGCTGCCACTTCTCCTTTATCTGCTGCGGCTTTTGTTGTTGTTACACAGGAAAATTACCAGCGACAAGCTGCGACCTTGGACGAGGGGGTTGGGGGATGAAAGATGGGGGGATGAGTTCTGCTGGAGGGGATGGAAAAGTCTACGGGGGCAGTGTCAACAGTTTTCCCTCCGGCTGAGTGAACTGTCTTCGGGCATGTTTGTCTGTATGCACTTCAATAAAAATTTAGCATACGCTTCACTTCACTTCACTTGCCACACGCACAGTCGGCACTCACACACACATATGCATACACACAGGTGTACACAGTGGTGGTCAAGAAAATAGCACCTAATATATTATAAAATCTCACTTTTGAGATATCTTCAAAACGTTAATAAACATTTTAATAAAAAAATTGTAATAAAAATTATATATTTTAAAATTTTTTGTTCATAATTTACTGTGCTGTTAAATTGAAAAAAATCTTATAAAAATAAATCATAAAAATATTACATTTTTTATAAAACCACTTATATAGCCACCTCATTTCAAAGTATCTATTTATCCTTGGTGCTATTATTTTGCCCCGAACTGTGCATATACACACCTGTAACGCCCCCTGGCGGCGGCTACATGAAAACATTGCTTTGTATCATTTCCCCTTGGCGAAGCATTTTTCGATTATATGTTGCCTTTGCTTTTTGGCTCGTTTTTCAATCTAAATGTCAGCACATGTGCGTGAGTGTGTGTGCGAGTGTGTGTATGTCAAAATGGCTGCCAGCTGTGCGTGCGAGTGTGCTAGTGTGGGTGCGCAAGAGTGTGTGTGAGTGCGCGTGTCGTGGCAAATTACTCGAGTGAAGTGCGCACTTCAAGAATGAAATAGCCAGAGCAACCGACACGGCCCCCAAAAAAACAAAAACTTCATCCTTGCCAGCCTCCTTTATCCGGCCACGCCCACCGTCTCTCGCCTCTCGCCTCCTTGAAAAACTCGGGGAAAAGCGTGTGCATGTGTGTGTGTGTGCGAGCGAATTTCCTTTCTAATTTGCTTAACGCAACTTGCTCAAGTCTCGTTACGTTATTGTTCATTCATTCAGTCGCAGCCAACTGCAACTGCTTGCTCAACATGTCGAAAAAAGAAAGTAAAACAAAATAGCAAAGGGAAATACCCATTAAATAGGGCGAAATTCTGATAGGAAAAATATAGGAGTTACGAAATTAAAATACCAAAAAGACATAAGTTATTCGGCGAATCAGTTAAGTCTACAAAATGCAGAAGCCATCTTTTAATTATTCAAAATAATTTATTTCCAAAAATGAAATACTTTTGAAATATTATAAAGTATTTTTATAACAAGAAAACCTAGACATATAAATAAAAAGGGTTGCTAAATTGTTTCAGTATTTTACCTTCTTTAAGATACAAAATATGGAAATATATTAGAAATAATATATCTGTGTGGTTAACAAATGAACATACTTTTGTAACATACTTTTTTATCTCCCATTGTTACTATTTATTATACTATTACTTACCATTGTTACTATTATTTATAACCCCTTGATACCCCCTAACATTTGGCTCTTAACGCGTGCATATAAGAATACGAAATGGAAACTTTGAAGTTGAAAATTAAGGAAGCATAACAATAGCAACAACAATTTATATCAAAACGAGCATTAAGAGAAAAAAAACGAAAAGGAAAAGGAAGAGAGAAAAAGTTACGGAAACATTTCATTTAAAATTATGTTTTTTGCAGCTGCTGCTTTTGTTATTTATTTTCTTTTTTATGCGATTGTATTATCATAACTTAAGGATTTTTTCCTGCTGAATATATTAGACCTAGTTCAAAATTAAAAATGTTTTACTTTTTGTAAACTAAAAATAATATTTTAGTTATTAAAAAAATTACTTTTCTGTGTGATTTTCATTTTAAGAAATTTTATATTTGTTTTCGTTTTTGGTTGAGTCTTAAGCTGGAACCTTTTACTCCCTTCTCCCCTTATAGATGTTGATACTCGACTTTCTATTAGCTAATTGTCAAGTAGTCGAATGAACCCACTTAGTCCACACATTTAATATGCATTTTCAAGCATTTTGGGCGACATCAAAGGCAACGAACTCGAAGGTCGGAGCTTAGGCGACCTGCTTATCCTGGCCGCCTTTTCCTTTTGCCTCCTTTCGTTTCGTTCACTTCCTGCCGCAGGAAGAGGAAGTCGAAGGTCCTCATCCGCATTTACATGGCCCGTAATGCGATACACTTCCAATTGATGGACGATGTATTATGCATGGATATTTTTTAGCCAGCTGCGAATTTATACGCCAATGTTTTATTAATTGTTTTGGCGGAAAATCTCGTTATTTATAGGTATTTCAATTAATTAGTCTCAAGGCTGAGGGTCGATTTTATAAATAAACTTGAGGGTGATACATACTTATTTTACTATATTTTATTCTTATATTAAATTATTCTGTTAATTAATCCTTTTTCTTACTTTTATTTCAGGTAAGCATCGAACAAAATCTGGTTAAAGGAACTTAATTTATGTAACTCAAAAGTAAGTCACTGTTTGAATTTCTTGTACGGCTTAAAAAAATATTGAGAAACATCTTAATAAAATCAGAATAATTAAATAATAATAATAATAAATAACTTAAGTAATTCCCAGCCAACAATATGAAGGTTAGTCAATAAATTCTGATGTTAAACTGTCTGAAATTCTTTATAATATTTTAGTAAATATCTCTCTTTTTCAATTTTTGCGCCTTGTATTCTGTCCATATATTTTTCATACTGAAGCGCTGGAAAAATAGCTATTTAAATTAATTAGTCTGATGGCCAAGGGTCACATACTGAATATATATTACTCATATATTCCATATATTACACAGAAATGGCGTTTAATTAATGTTTTTAAGCCTCTGGTTCGAACTAAAGTCGCGGTTGAAATAAATTGTAATAAATTCAGCTGGCTGATTGTTTGTACAGGTAAATTTAAACAATAAATAAAATGTAAATTTCTCCACGAATCGCGCAAGTAATTTCCTTCCTTCGCATTTTGTTTTTATTTTTGTTTTTTTCGATTCGTATTCTTTCTTATTTTTTTATTGCTAGGCCTAGCGGCTGTTGACCTTTCCCCGCTCCTCTTAGCTGGGGTCAACCGCAGCAGAAGGGAGGTAAAAGAAAAGACTGAAATAAGGAAAATTGAAGAAAAGTTCGGGTGCGTGGCAAGAAAAGGCCGGTAATTCAAGTCACGACATTCGCACCTGGGGCGAATGGCGTTTAAAATTCAGCAAAAGGTCAACAAATGCCCAGGTAACTGGCTCGGTCAGCTTTGCCAAAACGAAAAATATACATAAGTATATATGCCTATATAGATAACTTCAAATAATTACGTACAGTTCGCGCCATAAGAGTTTGGTCCAAGTCATTGTCATTCTGTGCTTTTTTAAATTCACTTAAATAAATACTATAATGCTTGTAGGTTTTACTAAGAGCCTTTCATTACAGAGTTTGAAAATCACTATAAGATGTTTAAAAAATGCACTCGGACTTCGAAAAACCCAAATCGTTTTTTTGCACCCAAATAATCGGTTTTTTTGGCTGAAACAGTGAAAATAATGGTCCTAATATGGAATGTCATACCTCGTTGTGCTCGTAATAAAAAATGCAATCGATCTGCATTTAAACCTGAAAATTTTACATTTTTGCCAATTTTCGCAAAAAACTATGATGTCACCCCTTATCAAAAATGTGAAAATTGGATCAAAAATTCAATTTTTTTAAATCACTCAAAAATTGCTTGGATATTAATTATTGGGTTGTAAGCTGCCCAAAGCAGTACACCTTTTTGGTTTGGGACCATTTTGCCCAAGTTACATCAAAAAATCCATAATAAAAAGTTAAATTTTTACCAAAAATCAAGATCCTGATTTTCCACCTAAGCCAAAGCAGTATTTTGGTCATAAAAATTGAAATAAGGATCCCAATATGGAATGTCATACCTCGTTGGAAATTTTTAATTTTTGCCAATTTTCGCAAAAAATTGTGATGTCACCCCTTATCAAAAATGTGAAAATTAGACCAAAAATTTAATTTTTTTAAATCACTCAAAAATTGCTCGGATATTAATTATTGGGTCGCAAGCTGCCCAAAACAGTACATCTCTTTGATTTGGGATCATTTTTGGAGAAGTTACAGTCAAAAACTCGATAAGAAAAATCAAATTTTTGACCTAAATTCAATTTTTGGCCGAGATACAGCCCTGAAACGCACTGTCTTCGTACAGTTTCTGTATATTTCGTTGTAAAACGACCAGTCAAAAAGTCTCGCTTCAATTACTTTGAGTTGTGCAAACCTTTACATTTTTTGTTGGGATTTTTTTTTTGTTTTTGTTCATATTTTCTTGGCCT